CGGCGACGGGGAGAGTTCACGGGCTACTGGCAAGGGTCCGGCGTTCTGCGAGGCGCGCCGCACACCCATGGGCGTGATGGCCCATTGGAGCCTGGGGTTGTATTATTGCGGGGGGGGGGGGACTCTGGCTGCAGCTCACTTGGCCCCCATAGCCCATAGGAGGTCTCCCCTGCTCATTTGGAGTGGTGTCTGCTCTGGCGCCAGTTCCCCTACCGCCTCCACAAGCAGCATCCGCGTATGCGGCTCGTCTCCCCTGGGCCATCCCCGGAACGAAAAAAGCCACCACTGTGAAGTCTTAATGAACCGCACAAGCTTACCCCTGCTAGCCTTGGACTAACGCCATTAAGCCTGTAGCCCCTACTGGCTAACGATGTAAAAGACTCACGTCTGTGAGAGCCCTTTCAGTAGACACCTTAGGTCTCCCTGAAATGAAAACTAAAATCAAATTAAATTGTCCGTGCAATTGGGAAAAATCTCTATAGTTAGAGGACTCCTTTCATTTTCTTTCATTCAACAGTCACAGGGGAGAGCCTAGCACGATTTGGAAAGGCATATGTAAGAAGAATCCAGGGTACTTTAGGGAAAGTTTGGGGCTTATTGGCAGAGACTATCCCTACATGCCTCCCAGAAGGTTGATCACATAAGGCAGGTGGAGAATCCATAAGTCTTACATAAGAAAGCAATTGATTTATTCTGCTGCATCCAAACAGTAGCAAAGACATAAACAGCCAGGTATAACTGCTGCCACTTTTTTCAGTTGATCTCCAGTGTTGAAAGGAAGAAAAGAGAAAGCTAGCTTGCCTGCCACCAAACATGAGTATTATACTTCCAAGAATATGGTGCAATATATGTGCAGTTGCACAAGGTAGCCTTGTAAAGTAGCAGTTCCCACAATCGGAATAAGGATGTTTTGAAAATGTTCTACTAGGACCTGCTTTAAAGCCCAGGGAATCTCTCCATTGATTTCAGTCGGGTTTGGAACAGGTCCGAATTGAAAGGGTTGCCATGGTAAAGTTCTATGTTTTAATGAAAGTGCAGCGCAGTGTGGCATGAAATGTGTTATCTGGAAATGTGTGTTGTGCTATCCCCGAGGACAACGCTGAAGCAGGAAGAATGTTTTTTTTCTCATTAGGAAAGTGTCACTTCCCAAATCACAAAGGGTGAATAAATCTGACGTAAATGCAGTTGTAAATTCATATGAATCTTTTAAAGAAATATATGAAGGAAAGCTAGTAACACAAACACCATTGCTGCATAGCCTGTGAGTTAGGCTGCTAAAGGTGCAGCTTTAGGGGGCTACTCAAAGCTATAACGGGTAGAGGGCCTGCAGGGAAAATAACATCCTATAAAGGTCGCTGTGTGTCCACAATAGCCAGTGATTCTCAACTTATTACTTATCATGCTCCCTTTCCCCAAGCCAGGACCTCTCAGGACTTTGCTCCCATCTAGTTGGAATAGCCATGACCCACAACTCATTTAGCAAATATTAGACAGGTAAGGTGCTTGTAGATGTCTTCCTCCTGATGTTAATAATCTTGCATATTATGTGGTAAACAGATCCAACTTTATCATATGACAGGGCCAAATATTAGGTACTCTCCTATCACATTTTCAAGAGCAGCCCTTTTCTGCCAATTCTAAATGGAGGAGTTGGGAAACCAGAAGGACAACTATAATTGGGAGGTGTGTGTATAGAGAGGCTTTGAAGGTTTTCTTCAAAACCTTTTCTCTAAAACAAGCTTTTCAGAGGAAGAAAGGATACTTTCTATACACTGGAGATGAGATGAATAAGTTAAAGTGAGCTGGAAAAATGGGAACAATAGCAGAAAGTAAAACAAAAAGAAATCAGACTTCTTGTCAGATACGTATATATCCACCTTGCAAAGACTTATGCCTCTACCTAACTTTATGCTTCCCAAGTAGTCCCTTTGGGTGAAATTCTGGCTCCATAGAGGTCAATGCAAGTTTTGCCAATAGACCAGGATTTCAGCCTTTGACTTTTCTGGGATTACTCAGTGTGTAAAGTTAAGCAGGTGCTTACATTTCTGCAGGATCAGAGCTATATATCAAGTTGCATATGTAAATCCATTCATACCCATCTCTACAGTACTTATTCCAATTGACTTCTGATTTATGCACACATGTATCATAAGACAAGGTTCACACTAAAGAAACAAAAGACAAGACTATGCAGCACTTTAAAGACTAACAAGATGGTTTATTAGGTGATGAGCTTGTTAGTCTTTAAAGTGCTGCATACTCCTGTTTTTTGTTTCAGCTAGACCAGACTAACACGGCTGCATCTCTATCACTATATTAAAGAAACAGATTTACTATTTGCATTGTCTTATCTCTGGCAATATATCAGAATGCTTGTGTTCTTTGAACCCACATCTCTGTGTGTGTGTCCCTCTCAAAGGCCCACATCTGTTGCTTAATTTTACAACCTCTTTCAAATTCTATTCACATTATTGGATAACTTTCCAATATTATTTCACTTTTATGATGGAGTTCCTACTTTTGTAACAGGTTCCTTAAACACAGATACTCAGTACAAACACAAAACTAAAACCAAAAGATCATACTGATATGATTCATACCAATGCTAATTGTTAACACACATGAATATAACTAGAAGGAGACTGGATGCTATTAGGGCCTAAGACTTTCTCTTAGGCCCTAATCCTGCAAACTCTTATGCACATGCTTAACTTTATGCAAGTAAACAATTGCATTTAAACTAGATGAAATTACTCATATGAGTTATGTACAACAAGTGTTAGCAGAAGCAGGACCTTCCTGTATGTTTGCTCAGCATCCAGCACAATAGGCCCCAGTCTTCACTGTAATACAATACTGTTATACCAATATTAAATAAGAAGAACAAGTTGTTTATAATTGTTCCATAAAAGTAAATACCATCCAGAAGACACAAATCCATTAACTACTTTGTTCCTTTTCTTTTAATGGATACATAAATTATTAAATCTTCATACTAGTCCATTCTAAATATTGATTACATTTTATTCAATTTATTGTTAACGGACTGCATTAATTGGAAATGACAAAGGATTATTCAAATTCCTTTTTATTTCACACCAGAAGCCATGTGTCATGCAAAATTCCAATGTAGATCACAGCTGAACATAACGTAGCAGTAATCCATGCATTCTGCAATAGCTAGGAATGCATTTAATTTGCTTCTAATCTTAATGAAGGAAGTGAAACAGGAAGAAGAGAGCATAAAAATTGTATCAAATTATTTGCTAATGCAAATAAGGATGTCAGGGAATCTTTCTTTCTTTCTTTCTTTCTTTCTTTCTTTCTTTCTTTCTTTCTTTCTTTCTTTCTGCAGGGTTAAATTAGATGACCTGTACCATGGAATGGAATGATTCAAGAGACAGAACCTTTAACCTATAGGTCACCGGTTTAAATATGGCCCAAGTCTGGAGTGAGCAAACATTGTAACCATGTGACTGATTTTCAAAGGTTTATGTAAACTGATTTCATGATCTCAAGGCACTTACCAGTGGACAGCTGTGCATGTCATGTAATCTTCATCCACCACCATTATAACAAGGCATGTTGGTATACCCTGGCTTTAATTAGTGCTACCACATTGCCATTGTTAGCTTAATTTACACTACCCCACTCAAGCAGCAGCAGAGCTTTGTTCTGTACAGTTCTTCCCCTATTTCAGTATCCTGTTTCACCCTGACTGATTTGGATTGTGGTGTACTGGGGCAAGCAGAGTATCCTTATCTGCTGGCTAAAGAATGATGCATATCTATAATGCTATATAGAAACATGAAATAATAAAACAAATAACAACAAGACACATAATGATAATGTTATGCTAATTAATGTATCAGCAATTGTAGTAGAAAATCCATAAATCTGATTCATTACTCTAATTCAGTTCCTTTACAATTCACTCCAGTGCACAAACAGTAGACTTGGTAGCTGGGAATATCCCCAAAATAAACTTTAAAGATGTTCCTTGGGGTTCATAGACACCATAAGGTCTCCCTACTCTTCCCCCTTGCAAACTCCATCATAGGATGGGAAGAGGAGAGAAGCGAAAGAACATACTCATATGTTTTACAGTTACACTAATTAACCACAAAATACTTTGGGGTTCATGTTGCTGCTTATCCAAACGTATTAAGTTTCTCAAGTCTGTAAAACTTAAGAATCAAGGAATCATTTAAACACAAGATTTGATCACATGATTTTCACTGCATCTACTTCTGGTCCAAGGTGAAAATTGCCATAGGAACAGTTTTATTCTTGGGGTTTCTTCATGCAACTGGAAGTACAAAGGCATTGAACAATGAAAATAAGATAGAGTTACACATTTGGAAACTTTAAACCAATTTAGATTGAGCTATAGTTCCAAAAATGGGCACAGATTTTTTGCATATGTGTGTCATGTCATGTATGTGTGACAGTGTTTATTATTCTAGAAACTGTTCACCTAATCTTATTATTCAACACAACAAGGGAATAGGCCCGAACCAAAATTCTGGAATGGAGCACTCAGTTTTTGGGTTTGAGGAATGACTATGTAGTGGGGTAATGTGCTCTAGTAAGGTGTGATTTCCAAAGTACCC